CTATAAGCTGAGGACAATGTGTGTATTACTGATATTCATTTTACTTTCATATCATTTTCTTAGGCCTAGCGCTATTGTGCACTTACTATATGATAGTGTAACATCTTATTAGGCTTTGATATGCATTTTCAAGTAAAATAAGGCAAAGATCCGCTTTTCGGCGATTTTCGCTTTTCGGCGGGGGTCTGGTCCCTAACCCGCCATATAAGCGGTGCCCTACTGTAATACGATACAAATCCAGCCTCTTGCCAGGCTTTAATTACAGGATTAATGGTTTAACATTACGCTACTGTGACACACAACCAGGCATTACCAGCTGGACGACATATAAGCTGCAACACGTGGTTTATAAAGATTAAATAAGCACCACATCATGTAGATGTACAGGGGAGTGATGGTGTAAGTCCACCCATCTTTAACATCAGCACTAGATGGAGGAGAGTCATCTACGTCGGCCAACATTTGAAGGTGCGGAGATCAGGAAAACCACACAGAATTTTTTATAAAGATTTTATTAATTAAATATTCTTATTTCTTGCATATAAATATGCAGTTTTCTCACCACTCCAATTCCTTCCAGTGCAAAGATCGCAGTGCCAAAGAAGAGTGGAAGTTGATGAAGAGAAGTGAAATGTGGTCTGTCATCAACGCTTGGAAGATCAATAAAAATGTAGTAGAAGGTTATCCCAACACCTGTCGCCATAAGCAGGTTGGCAATCATAGAGAATGGCGCAAGCCACTTCAGGTTACGGACCATGTTGAGAAGAATAAGCGGTAATGCCAGCATTACCATGTACAGCCTTAGGTCTATCTTACTGTCCGCATAATGATCTGCAACCTGTAAACACAATTACATACTAACAACAAACATGATTGGAAAGGCGTACACTATGGAGTACACTGATTTTTCAGAGGTGTTCTTCACACCAAATCACAGATATTGACATAAGCAGGTTAACCATGGGAATAACAAATTATTATTATTATTATTATTTAGTGTTCTGTCTGAGGACAGGTCCATATGAACAGGATCCTTCCATCCTTTTCTCGGACTGGGACCTGTTCATATACGTTCTTGGCAGATGATCCAGAAGTGGTTTGCCATTGCCTTCTTCTGTGTGTGAATGGAGTAATTGTTGGGATGCCACGGAGGAAAACTCCGTGTTGCCTAGACCACGGCCTTGCCCAACACAAGTTATAAATTCGGGCACCGCCGGGAATCGAACCCGAGACCCCAGGATTACAAGGCCAGCGTTCTAACCGCTAGACCACCGTGGCTATTGAATAACAAATGCAACACTCTTATGAAAGGCAACAATTTTACCTTGGGTCATCGTTGCACTACTGTGATAATAACAAAAAAATGTAAGAATAAAAACTGTTATAAGAGTAACAATAACAGATATGCATTTTCTCTCACTCAATGTAAATATATATAATAACTCCTATGAAAATTATTGTTTTAGGCCTTAGTGTTCATGTTTTCTTCCTGTTTCCTAGTAATTTCTGTTAGAGAATTAACTATCTTCTTGCTTTTATAGATCATATGATATATGATGCCACTTATTTATCTTGATTTCATACTCCATACATTAATCATTATACCATACAGTTCCCAACTTCTTACCTGTTTGATGTTTGTCGCAACAAATACTATGTAAACGCAGCAGCACCCTAACAGATCCACAACAAGGAACAAGTTTATCAGTGCCCTGTAAACAGCAAAGACAACGCATTTACTGACCAGTACTCCAAGACTTATTGTATATGTAAAAAGTTTGAATTCTGAACTGTTATTTTTATATACATAAGTTATTGTAGAAAATCAAGGATTATAACTGTCTATTTACAAATAAAATAACCGTCATTACATTTAATACTTGTGTGTCTCACTAAAATGTATTAACAAATTAATTTTCACTGTTTGACAATTATAAGTGCCTCTTTAAAGATGAAACTTAATACTTAAATAGTATTAAAAATATATTAAAATTGGCCGTCAATCACAATATAAGATAATTAAAAGATTAAAATATCATTTTACGTTCCGTATCGAGTACTCGATTTACATGTGGAACATTTACGACATGTTTCGGCTATATATAGCCATCATCA